CTTGACAAGTTTCTCTGTGATTGTTTTTCATGGTGCGATTTTCTGGAGCTCTGAATAAGTGTCACAGCTGCAATTTTATGTTGACATCTAATTTCGGTGTGTTTCATAAATAATGCTCGTATATGGTTAAATGCTGCCAGGATATATAAGAGAACAGGTGTAGCGGTGATTTGATTATTGTTCACATTTTCAAAACCCAATTACTTTGTATCAAAATAAACATGAAACCAATGCATTTTTATTTGCACAGTATGTAATTTTTGTTCTGTCTGACTAATGTATCAGCTGACTGTATCTCAGAAAGCCCCTAATGCATTCAGAACTGTCTAGACGGGAAGTGGTATTATTATTTTTTTTTATCCCTGTGCCTTTAGTCAGACTTCCTTTTACATTTGTCACTTCGTCTTCCCCATTAGCCATTCAGCATAGCTTTTTTTATGCTCCGTAACATGGATAGAAAGGCATTTAAAGTCCTGGAACTGGTGTGTGAGCATTTAAGTAACACACACTGATGTCATCGGTACAGACTGATAAGACGTTTGTTTATGTGATGTTCTTGTTGTCAGTTTTTGGTTGATATTTGTAGTTTACTCGCAATACAATGTATAGTTGGCGTGTTTATGTTTTGCTTGGATTAGATTTGCTGAGATAAAGATTGACACGAGCCGCAAGAGTCAAGGATGACGACAGTAAAATAGTCGGTGATAAGTTGTTCTTTAACCCCTATTTCTATTTTTCTTTTTTTTAATGATGCAAATTTATGACCAAGGCATACTGTTCAGCGAATGATTTCCAACAATAATATATTTTAAATAGTCCCTTGCATTAGCATAACTACTGCTTGATCTGCTGGAGGAGAACAGTTCAGCCAATGACAAGGGGCCTCTAGAATTTAAATTGATTTTGTCCAATCAGGAGGCTGTGGGGGTGAGTATTTGCGGGTCTAACCAGTGCTTTTCTCGCTCTTCTCTGCTTGAAAAGTAACTGAAAATTCTTTAGGCCCGTTATGGATCTGTATCAAAGCTGGGGCATCTACTTTCCAAACAACCAAAAAACGATTTGATAAAATGCATGTTACAGTGTCAAAACTGTTTGGTTCTATCACTATTTTTCACATGCCTGTTTTTTGGCCTCTATCAGACAGAAAAGCTAGCACCAGCCGTCACTTAGCAGCTGTTTTCCAACTACCTAGATGCTCCAGCTTTAAGTTCAAGCCATGCTGTGATAAAAACCTGAAAAATAGTTGAGTGCCATGTTTGCCCAGGTGCTCGCTATAACAGAAAGCATACGGTGCAGTTGGATCTGGGATCATACTTGTGTGTCCAATCAAACTTGGTGTTCTGCTGCGGAGAAAGCCTTAATACTTTTGATTCCAAGCAGATTTCAATGTAATGAGGCTGGATTTAAACTTCTATCTCAGTGGTTCTCAAACTTTTTACAACAAATACCACCTAAGAATGGGTTGGCGCCGCTGGCACCGCCCTAAGTTAGTTTAGGTCTTACCTTGAAGACAGGAAGTACTTTGTGCAGATTGGAAACTGTCTCAGATCATATGGCCCTGACCTGTGGAGTACCACAGGGGTCGATCCTGGGACCTCTTCTGTTCAATCTCTACATACTGCCGTTAGGTCAGTTAATACGCAGAAACGAAGTGTCCTATCATAACTATGCAGACGACACTCAGATCTATGTCTCACTGACTGCAGGAGAACATGGACCAGTGGACTCACTCCTTCACTGTATCCAACAGATCAGTGAGTGGATGCAAAACAACTTCCTTCAGCTAAACGCAGACAAAACTGAAATGATTGTCTTTGGTCCCCAGAAACAGAGAGAGCGTCATCTATCACCTCCAGTCTCTCTCCCTAAAACCTTCAAACAAGGTCAGAAATCTAGGGGTAATACTGGACTCACTTAAATGTTAATAGCCACATCAAATCAGTAACATCAGCAGCTTTCTACCACCTAAAAAACATTGCCAGAATCAAAAACATAGTGTCTAAAGCAGACTTGGAGATTCTTATCCATGCATTTGTCTCCAGTAGGTTAGACTACTGCAATGGCCTGCTCACAGGTCTGTCCAAACAGGCTGTAAAACAGCTGCAGTACATTCAAAATGCAGCAGCTCGAGTCCTGACTAGAACTAGGATTCGAAACTAGGACCTTTGTGCTGAGAAACGAGAGTGCTAAAAACTCAGCCACCGTTTTTAGCACTCTCATAATGCAAAGGACAAGTACAATGACTGTCAATTAAAATGAGCTGCAAAGGAATATTTCTTACGTACTGACACATGTGCCACACTTTGAGAAACATTACTATCAAATACAAGGGTCTGCTATGATTTAATGATGACTTAGAAAACGTCTTCTGCTGTAGATGGAGATGAGTTCAAGCATCTCTAACCGTCCATTCTTACCCCTGTACTTTTATTTTCCTTTCACGATCCTCCATGTTTTCAGCTCTCTCTCAGGGCCCAGCTTTCGGTCCGGTCTCTTCAGTCATTCCATCTCACTTTGTGGCCTCATTCTTCTTCCTCTCCCTTCTTGTCAGACCGTGGTGCTGCGCTCTGCATCTCTATAGCTGCCCAAGCCCTTTTGGGTTGAATAATGCACTCGGAGAAGACTCATGAGGAGGCAGTCTGCAACAAAATGGGGCTATTGTGTGGACTATCCAGCTGAAATGTTTGTTTTTACACTCTGCGATGCTGAACAAGGATAGATTTCACTTTGAGAGCTTTGGCAATGAAATAAGTTTTGTTTATTCGCTTCCTTTCAGTGATGGGCTCTGTCAGCCTTCTGTTTTTGCACATCTTGTTCTATTCCAGCTCAGATGTAATTTGCTCCACTTGCCCATCTGTGTATAATTTTGTCTTTTCAATAGTGTAGTGAAGGAACATGTTTTTATTTTTATCATGCAAATTTGATAGAACTCATTCGAAACACATTGATATTGTATTTGTCGTTCGCAAAAACTCTATGCATAAATCAGGCTGTACTGCTCTTACAGCACCTGAACTAAGCACCTGAAAGTAGAGAAAAATGTTAAAAATAAAATAAGGAAATTTGTTGAAATGTCTTTAGCAAAAACAATATCGGTTTCCATGGCACATGATACATAATTTTAAAGCATTTACCATTGTGAATGCAATAGGCCCTTACGCCAGTTCGTTGCTCGGACCTAACTAGGTCTGAGAGCCTGTATATTGGGTAGATTTCAGCCGCGTTTTCACCGCAGGAGTTCCTGGTAAAAGAAGCGGGGTGGAACTTTTACAGGAACCTTCCTCTCCCTCGGTCCTCTCAGTGTCCGTGTCTCCACTGCAGTAGGATCACTCGGCGACGTCATGAGTTTCGATTGCCGCACAAGCGAAACTCATAACGCCAAACCCGTTATTATAATAGATCCATGCGCCAAAACCATTTGTCTATTTTACGGTTGTAACCGCTCCAGTTGGTGTGGTCTTTGTTTTTTTTTTTTTAGAATCCTGCTTCATTTAAAAAAAAACTTTTCACGGCTTGTTTTGGAGTTTGATGAATCCCCAGTGCTTCGAGGTGAAGCTGATATGTCTTGGTTTATCTTTTCATTTTGCCGCGATGCCTCAACCCACTTCTGAATCAATGCCATGCTGTTGTTCGCTTTTTCCAGTGGTGTCTGCTAGGCTAATGCTGCTAGGCTAATGCTGCTAAGCTAATGCTGCTGGGCTAATGCTGCTGGGCTAATGCTGCTGGGCTAATGCTGCTGGGCTAATTCTGCTAAGCTAATGCTGCTGGTTGTTTTGCTGCTTTCTTCTGGCGTCAGAGCCTGCCCTAGATTTAGCCAATCAGCGTGGGGTTAACCTCAAGTCCCACCAGGGCCCAACTGAGTACCTAGCATGGAGAAGGGACTCCGTTGGGCCCCGTAAAAGTTCCCGTAAATGGCCCTGTGAGGAAAGTTCCCGCAGTGGAGACATGCACAGACGAGGCTGGCCCTGAAAAGTTACCCCGAAGTGCGGTGGAAACACGGCTTTCGTCTTGAAATGGTTTTTATACAGTCTTTACAGTCTTAACTTCCCAAATACAAATATCTTAAATTGTTCTACCCTCTCATCGCATTGATTGAACTTACAAATTTTTCTTTTTCATAACTTCTACTCTCTGTTAGACACACAACTGGCTTAGTTTTTCAGAATTTTGATGTGGAACAGACAAAAGTGGAGGTGGAGCCCTGGACCTTTAAACCAGACGAGAGGATTACCATCAATCAATAACGGCAATGAATCCAAGAGAAATATTCATGAAAAATGTAGGGAAAAGTTTGTGAGAAGCCAGATATAGCCCATGCTACTTTGTCTCCTAAAGGGTTAACATAGGTAAGTTGAGAAAAATGCAAATTCAAACAAAAATCGAATTCCAGTCTGCATTTATTTCCTCACACACAGGCCCCACGTGAATTATTCTCACTTACCAGGGTGTGAGTGAGTCTATGTCGTCCGTATGAGTTCAGAGCCATGTTACGGCAGGAAATTGACAGGTTTTGACATCAACACTGTTCTATGATTGAAGTGTAATCACGCCTCTGCACCTTCCAGTCTCTGCACCAAATGCATTGTGGGTGTTCTCCAGACATGATCCCATCTTGGCTTCGCTTCAGTGTGCGCCACGGCAAATTGACAAATAATACCAGGATATCACATTTCTTTTGCCGCTATCCCTCAACGTTTACGGCTCTCACGCTGCTGCACTAATCGATTAAAGCCGCTGCAGGTCAGGTGACAGTCTGGTGCTTTTCACGGTATTGTGTGTTTAATGTCTGAAAGAGAGAGACTTATGGCATGACAATGAAGTATGATGCCAGACCTTGTTGCCCCAGTGAATCCATTGGCACAATCATGTTTTGAATATGTCTTGCTCGTTGGCAATAAGTTATCTTTTTGGTTTTTTTAGGGCAAGCAAGGTGACAAAACCCAGTCGTGTCAACAAAAAAAAGTGATTCAAAAATAATAATCAACTTGTTTCTCTTCCAGGCCTCGGCTTCATGCCCAGAGGAAGTTTGCGCAGTCCCAGCCCAACTCTCCCAGCACCACTCCGGTCAAGGTGTCAGACTCCAGCCTGAACACTGGACTGTCCGCCTCCCTCTCGTCTCTCTCCTCATCCATCCTGGACCTGTCCCGACGCAAACCCAAAACAGAGGACTTCCTCACCTTCCTCTGTCTCCGAGGTAAGACTGCAGTTATTTTGTTGTACTTCAAAGACTGTTTTCTTTGGTCTGTAGTTTGTAAAAGTCCTCACTTGTAATGTAATTATTCAGTTGGTATTAGCTGGCATGGAGGTGCAGCAGTCAGTGCTTGTGCTTCACAGCAAGACGGCCCTTGGCTTGATTCCACCTCTCTCTGGAGCCGTTCTGTGTGGAGTTTGCATGTTCTTCCAGGGGCTCCCTAAAAACATGTATAGGTCTTGGTCTGGCATGCGACCCCGCTTCTATCTTTGTGTACAGTGACAGGAAAAGTGGCCACAACAATTATTACATGCTTTGTGACTCAGAGTCTTTTATATTCCATATTTGAAATGCCTAGTTTTAGTTTATTTCTAAATCCATCTTTCTATGGTAGTGATTCTCCATGTGGGACAATAGGCACTAGAATCAATCAACATGTTTGTTTTAGTGAATCGATACAAACTCAATATTTGCATTGTCTTCTTGGAACCATCGTGAATCCAATTTCTTTCTTACTCCCTGTGAAGCATCCTCAAAGTTACCCTTTCCTTATGCCATCTTCACATTCTTCGATCCGTTTAAACGCAGCGTAATCATAGTTTTTAGCGTACATTTTTGCTCTCTTTCCTTCCTGCTCGCAGACCCTCCTTGTATATCACGCTCTTACTACAAATAACTGTGTACTTGCCCAGGGCTAAGATTATCCTGCGTTTCATCAGCTTACACATCTCGCCCTCGTACCTTTCAACAACTCCCCGTCTCTTTAACACTCTGCCTATCACCCGCTGCAGCTGCTCCGATCCACTCCCGTAGCTCCAGACGCGGCGCAGGTTTGTTGCCGTTCTGTCACACCTTCCATATCGAATGAACTGCAAAAGCTGTGGTCCATAATTAACAGCTTAGCGTGACATGTTGCGCTGCTACTATCAAAGTTTGTTGTGATTGTGTGAACAAGAATAGCAATTTTGTGGCACACAGAGACAATACTACAGGAATCAGAGCAGTTTGGATTTGGATCACGTGCTGGAAAAATGAAAGACTGAATTCTCTCGTTTGATGCACGGAAAGAGATCGTTCCAAATATAGCGCTGTCTTTCTTTCAAGAAGGTTTGTTTGTAGATGGTCTGTGAACTGTGCTGCTTGTAAATAATGGGAAAAATCGGTAATTGCTCAATATTACACAATAAAAACTACAAAAGCCCCCGTACAGATGGAACTCTGGAAATTAGAATATCAAAAGTTTTGTTTCTGTGGTTCAACTTAATCTCATATGAAATCAATATATGAAAAAGACTCATTGTATACAATAGTCCATTATATATTCTAAGTTTCTGACATTGAACCAACTGTCAACAAATAAAGAGTTAATATATCTGACTTTGCAATGAGTCTGTCATATATTAGTTTCACATCGTAAGTTGAATCACAGAAGTAAAACGACTTCTGAGCAAGTTTTCCGAGTATCACCTGTATATTAATATTTCACAGCCTTGTCTGAAAAGTAGTATTCTTATTTTAATTTATTAAGTTATTTTTGTCTATCAGATATATCAGATACGATATCAAATTCTTATTCTTCCCATCCCACGCCTTGATCTTAAATATCATATGTATGTTTTTTGGCAATTTCTTATACCCTCAAAATAGACTGGAATAATTTCTGACTGAAACACATTGCCTTTATTTATAGCCCAGTTTAGTGTCATTCATGGTTCTATGTATCTTCCACCTGCGCTGTGAGGGTGACATTTTCCTTGGCCCACTGCAGTTTCTCAGTTTCCCCCCTTGGCCTCTTGTGTGACCCAAATGTGGAGGCCCTTAGCGGGACAGAGGCGGAGCAGAAGGTCGGAGCAGCCCTGGAGGTTGTCAATTCAGAACGCCACACCCACACACCACCACACCGCTCTCCTGTGAGCCGCTTATCTGGCGCCCGGACCCTCCCATCATCTGTCTACAGATGAAGGCTTTTTGAGGACATCAGTGTCAGCCCTGGATAATCTTTTCAAAAGGACTGGAGTCTTTGATATTGTCAGAGGCCGTATCCGCTTTAATGCTGTGGTCTTTAGTGTGTCTCTTGACTGAGCGAACATTGGCTTCTGCAAAGTTCTGCTTGGCGTTTAAAGTACAACTATTATGGTAGATTTTTATATATAATGGTGAGACTATTTACTTTGTTGGGTAGAAAATGTATGGTGAAATGGATATCAAGGGTAAAAGTTTAGAGAAATTGCCAAAACTAATTCAGGGCCTGTACCTTTGTTTTAGAAGGCAGAAAAGTGCTGAGTGTGATGTCATACAGTTACATCACGATATTACTATAATTAGGACAGGAGATTTTAGGAGCAGAGGTACGTATTTGTAGCAAAAGTTTCTTAATATTAAGACTTGGATCTGTTTGTAGATCTACTCACGGTGTTTTTGATGAGGGGACAATAACATAACATGGTAAAAGCTAATATTGTTATTTTGAAGATCATGAAGAAATTAATCTATTAAATGAATTAACTGAGGGCTAGGACTAGATTCCCACAGTCCTAGATAAGGACTAGATTGAGGACTAGATTCTGGGACACGATATGAGACAAGATGATTTTTGTATTCACTTGTTGCTTTTTATTCTTGGATTATTGTAAAGTGGTTTGCTATACAACAATAAGGGTGTTTGTTTTCTGGAATTTTCATCTGTAGTATTTTTGTTAACCTCCAGCCCTGACAAAAAATATGCATTGTGAAACAAATGGCTTTCTTCTCAAACTCAACTGTAAAAATCACAACCGCAAATCCATCATGCCGCTTATTGCTTTTCATTCCACGCTTGTAATTGCCACATTTCATCCAAATAAACTGGCACACTGGGGTTCTGCTGCTGTTCTGTCGAAGGAAAAGTTATTTTTAATTCCACAATCTCCCAGGGGGGTTGCGTTGCCAGATAATTCTGATGTAACGTGGTTGTAAGCCGGCGGATAAAGAAGTTATAAACAAGATTTGACTTCTCTGTGTTGAATGAGGACCATGCTCTCTCCACCCACGATGTCTGTGTGTATCTAAGCACACATCTCCACACTGGCAGACTGTGGTGTCCTCTGAATGCTGTTTATGTGAGGTCCAGCGCTGCAGTGGGCTTGTTTATATTCACTGAGAAAGCCATTTGGGCAGCAGCCAGACTGTCTGCCTCTGGAAACGACAGCAGTAGAGCAGGATAGGGGGCAGTAGTGAGCCCAGCTGCGCATAACACCCATAATACAGACTATAGAAATGTGTTCAAATGTTGTCTTTTTGTGAGATTTGGCATTATATACATTTCAACAACCTACAGCAGTCCAAGCCTATTCAACATATTAAGTTTCTAAATGTTTTCTCCACAACATTTTCCATACAATAAGCTACAAAGCACATTCTGTTTAATTCCCTTTTAAAACCCAAAGAGCAGCTCACTTTTCAGAAGGAGATCCGTTATTCGTCCCACAGTGGGGAAATTTCAGTTTGATGCATACACAAATACACATACACATCGAGGCAAGCGGCGAACATCCCTTCCGAGCTCCTTATAGGCAAAGGACGCAACGACAGCAGACATCAGTGGAGTCAGTGGAGAAGGTCTCGAGGTGGGCTCGGACCCACGACCTTCACCGTCCAAAAAATAACAATTGTAAACCGCTTTGTGACTCTGGTCTGTGAAAGGCGGTATATAAATAAAGCTTACTTACTTACTTACTTACTTACTTCAGACTCTAAGGCCAATGCTCTACCAACTGTCGCCAACTGTTTACTTTTTTAATATACAAACAGCACAGTTGAGGTTGGCCTCCATATTGTAATGATGATTGATATTAGAATAACTAAAGCAACATTACTGTAATAATATACATATTTTTAGGCTTTGTTTTTACCCCCTGCTCTTATCGTTTGAAGGCAGTCGAGTCCAGATCTCAACCATACAACTGTCACAACATCAGAACCAAAATTAATCCTTATTTGGACAGAGGCGGTCCCCAATCGTCCCCATCCCATTTTAACATCAGTGTTTTGTGCCATCATCAGGAGGAACTGAATCCATTTAGCACCTTTAAGAGCTTTAGATTAATCTGCTTTCTTTGACTGGAAAAACAAAATCGCTATTGCTCTGAGCGGAGTGGCAGCAGATCAAGTTCACACAGCACAGGTCAAGTATACGCACTGCACAAACAAATCTAATCATGTGTTGTAAATTAATTCCACTCGGGACACACACTCCTCGAAATGACTGCTTTGTGTAATTTCCCAGAGAGCGGCTCATAGTGTGTCTCTCTGTGTGTGTGTTTGTGTGTGTGTGTGTGTGTGTGTGTGTGCGCTGCTGTGACCTTAGGCCTGTGACGCTGCCAGATCCACTGCAGGTTCAGAGAGTGCAGCGATGTGAGCTTACGTAACCCCAGAGCCGACCCACTGAACCAGACGCTGCATTCATCACAGAGATTACACACATGAGACGAGCACTCACGCACACACACACAGCGGCAAACACTTGACAATAAGCCGCCAAAATATCCAGTGGAGTTCGCTTGTTTTACATGTGATACGATTGACGAGTTTGAATTTGTACTGAAAGTCACGCAAGAGTGAGCACAATTGTACGTGTCAACCATTTCGCAAATACTTTTTAAATGTTCCTTTTCAACCCAGTTTTCGGTTCATATTTAATTTCGTAATCGCTTCCAGTGGCATTTGCAGCAGATGGAAGTGTGTGTGCTGCTTTTTTCCTCTCTATCCTTTTTGATGGTTTTATCTAAAGCTTAACAAGACGCATGTTTTGACTCCGGGGATTGAGGCTTTACTGTGACATACAGTAATAAAGTGCACTGCTGCTGCTGCTGCTGCTGCTGCTGCTGCTTCGATCGCCATCACCCTAAAGGACGGTACATTTTCTGTTGTAATGCACTGGCGGGATTTGAATAAAGCTGTTTTTTGACCCTCTCAAAACAGTCGAGCCGATCCTGCCTCCCTTTCTGACTGCACAGCTTGCTTCTGTCGGGTTCATCCTTGTACACATACAACTACTTGTATACAAACGTCAAAGTCTTTTTGCCTCAACTGCTTGATGGGGAATTTTGGCAGACATCGTTTAGTTTGTAGTAGAACTTTTTTTTTCCCCCAATGCCAAATAAACTTCCATTCGTCTCTCTTGACCTTGTCTGTTAAGTTGGCAAGTCCGCAAGTCCCCACGGCGGCTTGTCTGTGCTGATTGACTATTTAAATCGTCCTCATTGTTTCAGTTCCGGTTAAGAAGACAAAAGAAGGCTAGTGGTTTAGTAATCATGCCCACTCCCGTTTTTTAGCCTGGTAAAAAATGGCAATCCTAATACACTCTTTTAGCAGCAATTATGATTTGTGTGTGGTTGGAAGGAGGTGGACAAAACGGTGGTGTAATTGGGGGATTGGACTTGAGCCTTTTTGGCCATAGTGCACGTTGCTTCTCCCTCCATCTCATTTTCCTCCATCTCACCATTTGAGCCTGTACTCTTTTACACAACAGATTTGTGGTACATTTTAACTGGTGGATCTGAGATTATAATACTTGCTTTATTATTGTGTGTAATTACCCAAAAATAGCTTTTAATTGACATACAGGTCTTGGGTCGTTGTATGTCTGGTACCAAGAAACCAAAAAGCAGCAATTATATTTTCCATTTTGATTTCCGTCCACATATTGAATACGTTTTGAGATAAACAATTCAAATCTACAAAAATAAAAACAAAATGGCACCATCATAGTGTAGTGTTACTAACTAAACCCCAGCAGGAGGTATTGCAAACTATTCCGTATTTGATCCAAGCCTTTTATTCCTGTAGTTATTCATGAATCCATTTCTGCTTGACCACTGCCCTCTCGTTTGGCCGCCCGCTGCTGTTACCCCCGAGGCCTGTTTGTCATTGGCCCCTGACCCTTGTCCAGGGCACTAAATTACAGCCGTTCTACTAATGAAGCAGGTCGTTAGGAGCCGATGGGGCCAGGGAGTCTACCTTTTGTTTGTTGGTTCTTCGAGGGCCATGTACGTAAAGATAAATGTGCCTCGTGTGTATGAAAAGGGCTGCACAAGGTTTTGTCCCAGTTTATTCCGAGCAGACGATGCTAAACATGGATTTGACTTAGTTTAACAAACGCAGAGAGGGCCGACCCGAATGTGGACCGATCAAGTTTTCGTTCAGTTAATAAGGTTCGTTCTGAAGCGAGACGGTGTATAACCATATAAAAACTACAAAGTGGACGCAACTGTTTCATTCAGTCTGCGTTCACGTTTAAGAGGCTATTATCTAAAGCTGCGAGCCCTTCTCCTCTTTTCAAAATCGTAACACAGGTACTTTGTCTGCGGAATCTGCTGATCTACTGGCTTTGTCTCTGAGGAGGTAATTAGGATGTGGCAGAGGCGTCAAAAGAAAGCTACGATCCAAGCCAAAATACGTTCTGGCGTTACTTTATAGTCTCACACCATCACGAGCAAGAGATGAACTTTTTTTTCGTGTTTTTTAAAGTCGCTTTAAACTGCGAAACACACATGTCACATATGTATTCTTGTATTTGATGTTGACGAGCCTGTATGTTTCAAGCTTGATGAAATGGGGATACAGCCTCTTACTAATTAAATAATAGTCATTTTTTTAACTCTACAATGTCTTCCTGGTGGATAATCACAGTCTAATTGAGTCATTGTCAGGCATTTCTCACGATGAGAGACTGCCATTTTCTCTTCTTTGTAGTTTTTAATTATATATGATGGATGTGGAACAGTTGATTTAATATTTTCTTTAGAGCTCTCTTCTTGCCTGAATGATTATGAAGCTGCGATTGGCTTTCTCCTCCTGTAGTTACAAAGTCTGTGGTGCCAGTCACGGTCTGTGCGAGCGGGCCAGCTGTTTGCACGCTGATTTACGGGTGCAACATTATCAGATTTAATAACACGGCTTTGGGCTTTATGACCTTTTTATGAGTGCGAGTGTGCGTCTCCATCCTGATCACTGAGCTAACGTTATACAGGCCGCCGCTGCCAAACATTTCACTTCCTACTTACGGCACATATTGAACCAGACTTTTCCGACATGACAAAATGAGCGATTGAGTGTGACAGAAGAGGAAAAGGGAGAAGGATGTCAAATTTTCTTCGTTTGAAATTGACAGTAATCCTGTTTTGGAGACGTGAAGAAGACGGATTTGGGATAAACCACGAGAGAGTGTTTTGGATCCTAAAACAACTCCTTTATAGTGTTAAGACATTTGAGCTCTCGTACAGCGGATAAATCTCAATAAAACTGTCAACAAACACTCAGGAGTTGGAGTAAAAACGCCTTGATGAAATGAAATGGAACGCACCTTTTGTTCTCTCAGCAAAACATGATTTATCTTGATTGAATATGGCTTTATTATTCATTGATTGTTGTTCAAAAATACTCTGTTGTTCCATTAGCTGTTACATTAGGGATGGAGCAAGTTTGTTTTGTGTGTGAGTGTCCTGATGTATATTTTGTCCTGTTTGTATATTGTACTGTGCTTTGTTCATGTTTCGTAATCTGTATTTGTTATGGTATGGTTTTTATTTTTACAGGGACAGTGTACAATAAACATTAGCCAGAATCTCTCCTTCTGGCTAATGTTTATTGTACACTGTCCCTGTAAAAATACCAGGTTATAGCAGCAGTGCTTATTTACACCTGTAGTCCCTGAGCAGGTTTTGTGTTTATGGACCCCTCAAAAACGAGAAGGCACGTCTCAAGGGGCATTCCATTAATAAACTAAACTAAACCAAGCTTTACATATTGCTTTACTTCCAAACCATTGTATTGCTTGTACAGTTAAACATACGTTACTCGCTGAACTGCATTTTTTAAGACCACAAAGATAGAAAACTGTTGAACTTGGTCATAACTTTTCTACCTTCACTGGTTGCCATAGAGTACTATAAAAACATAAATACTTTATTGGTGTTGCCATATACAGGCCATGGCAATGAAGTCATCCAACTAAATAAGTAAATGTTGAATGTATTCAGGGCTTACATCTCACGTTTTTCTCTCCATTATTCATGTGTGTGCTCAGGCTCGTCGGCTCTGCCCAATAACATGGCCTACTTCGGCAGCTCTCAGGAAGAGGACGACCTGGAGGAAGAGGAGCAGGAGGAAGAGGACGAGCTGAGGAGTGGGCTGCACTCGGACAACGCCTCTGCCTCCTCCTCCTGTCACTCCACACCACGGAAGGGCCGGCTGCCAGGGAGACAGCCCCTCAATGGACACGGTAAACGCTCGGGTTTATCAACTTTTTGTTACGGTCTTCCTTTTGTTCAGGAAACTTGATTTTTACAGCACAATTCATACAGACAAATTCAAAAGTGCTGCCAAAACCAGAAACTGAACTAATTTTTTAAACAAATAAAAACATAAGATCATTTTAATTTTGAAAGAAGAAAACAGAAACAAATCTTTCAGTTGTCCATCCATTTTCCGCCGCTCTATTCCAATATCCGTCAGCGTGGCAGGAACCCAGGACCTTCTTGCTCTGGATCAAGCACATAGAACAAGAACATGGAAAAGACGGCTAAACACAATAGAAGATATAAAAACAAGATACTATTTAAAGATGAAAAGTCAAAGTCAAGTGCCGATCCTTACGATGAGGGGTCTCTGTGACTTGGGCGTTCTTCGGAGGACGCCGTTGTTCGGAGTTTAGAGACTGCGCTCATAGGACATCCGAGCCGCACACGGACCCCTTCCACCCCAATTAACACGTTGCTCGCTAAGCTCCAGCAAGGTGTTGATGCCCCACAACAGCTGGCCCCGGCCCTCGCCTTACACAACACAATGGCAGCGTATGTTCACCCGTGGGGCAAACGTGCACATCCGCCAGCGCACACTCACACCTCTGTGCACTCCATTTAGGAGATTACATGGATGCAGCTGACCGTGACAGCACTGAGGCATCGCACAAACTTGCTCAAAGATGCACCGTGTTTGTTCTGTGGAAAGCTGCAGCTGCGGTCTTGAGGCTTCTTTACCTGGAATGGTGCACAGACTGGCAATAATCGTCATTTAATTCACTTCAATTCAATTTAATGTATCTTTGTAAAGCCCTAAATCACAACAGTAGTCGTCTCAAACACAGGAAATACAATAATAACAAACGCATAGGAGCCATTGGTCTATAGAGAGCGGGATGACCAATGTCGATAAATGTCAATAAATGTTTTCTAAATGATCATCACCGTCCTTAGACCCTCCTGCAGCCGCTTGTCTCTCCTATTTTGGAGTCACCTGCTTTTCAACATGGAGATGACAAGTCTCTACTCATTTAGAGGAAAAGCTTAACAGTACTAACAACTGTAAATTGAATAAAACCTTAATCCCCTACTGTCGGAGTCTGACAGTAAGCGAGCCAGTGTCTGACCCTCCTCCAGAAAATGTAGAAAGTTTGTGAAGAATTCAGATGGTAGCACGCCCTGCCCTGAATTCTGTGCTGCCCTTTGGCGACTTTGTTTCCGTCAGTGATATTTTTCGATTTTGGCGTTCCTCCTTTTCGCAGTCTCTATAAAATCTTAGGTAGAAAAGTTCAAAATGAGTGGAGGAGAAAAGAAACGGCTGACTTTGTAACATATCTGGTCTCTCACTTTATCTGCTTTACTCCAGTGTTTGTACGGCAGCTCGTCGGCCCAGCTCTGATACGCAGAGTAAAGAGACTGGTGGAAAGAGTAGACGGACGTGTAAGGGACAAAAGATGATTATTTTTTTTAGACTGGCTTTGCATAGTGGCCCATTGCTCTAGAATATGGGGCAAACGCTTGGCTGTGAGGTGAAGATTTGTGTAAAACTTAAATATGCCAGAGCAAGGTTACGCACACAGGGATGAGGAGAGCCAGGGAAACATTTGAGTTCGGGAGGTGAGGAGAGTTGCTGTAGGCCATTCATCAGCTCCACCGCTCCTCTGGTCAGGCCGGCTGCCATGTTGACATAGTTAAATTTAACAGCTTTTATTGGGTTTGCGCTTCGCTCACTTCTCAATGTCACTATTTCAGAGACCACACGATGCTGTGGTTGAACAGAAAGTGTACTCATGCATGGGCACGATGGAAAATATACCTGTTTTTATATAGACGGCTCAGAGATCTGAATATGTTGTAAACCAAACGGCAATTTGTGCTTGATTTGTTTAATGTACTTAATAGGGACAGTTATACGGAACTTATAATCCGTTAATTACTTTCTCAACACTACAATCAAAACACATTTAGCCATTTGGAATGAATGTATTTTTTGTAGATTATTTAGCTTTTTTCAAATCACAGCCAAAAAGTTGCCGAATGAAGGTTTCTCTGATTATTTGTTGAAGGGAAACTACAGGGTGGTATCTACATTTATGAATGCTGTGAACATTTCATGTGCTCTTATGTCACTAGACCCGTGTTGAAATGAATGGCTGTAAAACCCGACCTGAAAAAAACATTAAAAGTATGCGGTAATTGCTTTGCTGCCATTTCATTCACTCAGCATCACCCCAGGGGTTCCAGCACTCATGACACTTTTGCAGCACTTTATTGACATGCGCTGAACAAAGAGGGTTTCATGCACACCTTAAATCATGCATGTTTCACTGATTAGACCCAGTACTTGGGCCAAATCTGTCACTCCAACTTGGGCCGTTCCACTTGTGGTTTGTGGTCTGCTGCCATGCTTATGTGAGGTACATATACTACAGGAGACCTATGTTCATATGAGCTTGGCAATGCCCCATCCGTAGCGAGAGCTACATAAAGAAAAGGGCCTACAGTAATGGAAGGTAATATCCAACATTAAGCCCAAGGTTTTGTTTTTTGTCTCTGCAGTGTTCCACAGCCATTCAAGGGGGACCCGGGAGAGTCCAAGGCCCAAAGTAGGGTCCCATGGCCGGGATTCATCCGGTCCACAACTGCCACCTCCTCCACCACCACCGCCGCCGCTGCTGAGGGAGCGCAGTGAACGAGCTGAAGCCAGGGAGCACGCTCGGGAACAGGCCCTGGCCCGGGCCAGTGCCTCCAACGGGCTGTCCTCAAGACGGGCTGCTGAGGAGATACGCAAGCAGGTATGGGCTGAGGGACATAAAGCAAATGTTGGTCCTGTGTCTTTTTATAATTATTTGGATTGACAGACACAAGACCAAAGAACTCCTTACATTTTCACCAAGATCCAATCAAAGGGTTTTTAGTTCTCCAGCCTCCGGAGAATGAACTGAATCTATACCATAGATGAGGCTTTTTGAGTTTGTCTGAAATGGGAAGAGGAACCAATCATGATAATAATTACTTGCGGCTCTTGGTTGAGGTCTCTGCTCAAAGACTCATCTTCTACGTTTAGACCAATTTCTGGTTTTACTCAAGACTCTCTGAAGAGGATGATATATTAGTAGTACAGTACATATGCCTAGTTCTTTTATTCCGTAATGTGTCATGTGCTGTTCATTACTGGTCTGCAGTGAAGGCTTTGACAGTGCTGCTCATTCCCCATAATGTCTTTGTGACTTGTTCTCTTCCCATTTGCCACATCCTCTGCTCTTAGTGTCCCCTCGTTACGCCTGTGTCCTGTTGCTTCTGTGCATTGTGCCAGGGAGAGTAATGATTGTGTTTTGGCCTGCCCAGACTGCAGCTATATTTAGTTGAGCTGTGAAAGCCTGTCTCTCTCCTCTCTCTCTGGCATTTAGCGGGTTTCAAGGAACCCCTTTTAAAGTGTGAGATGGTGGTATAACTTCAGTAGAAAGAGTCTCATATTGGCTAATCAAAAGCGGTGTTTTTCACAGCTGTGTGTGCGAATGCTTTATTCTCTTTTGCAGTTGTTTGTTGTCGTAATGTGGTGGCGGCGATGCAGAGTCAGGCGCGTGCTCCAGCGTTTCGAAGTGGTTTGGATTGTCCACTAAATCTAGCAATGAATCTCAATGAGAGCCACCGCTGCCAAGAGAAACTTGAGGCTTTTTCTTCTTTCCTTTCACAGTTGGCAAACGACACGACTCTTTTGATTCTTCCCCAGCCTGGCGTCATTACACCTGTACATCCGTACCACTGTCTTTTTCGCTCAATTTGTCTTCATGCTTCACTCTCTCTCTCTCTCCTCTTCTGTGTCAGACAGACGGATCCTGCCCTTGACAACATGGCTCCAGTCATTTGGAAGGATTAGAGTTATTTCCCCATCCTTGCTCTCTTTGTCTAATTAGCATGAACAATATGTGCGTTAGGAAGACACACACACGACCAACTGTGAAAATACAGGCTAAGCCTGAGAAAGGTTAAGTGATTATGTTGTTGTAAAACCAACAAAAGGTTGTGTGAGGAATACCAAAAGGGTAAAGGCATTATCATAATTTAATTTGCTGTGATTCACGTCGCCTTAATTCAATATTGGCCTCTATCAACATAGTACCCTGAGACTGAGGATAAGTTTTCACAAAACAATTTAAACTTGTCCATTGATTTAAGTGGGCCATCGCGCTTTTAGTTGGAGGTAACAGTTTGAAGTTCAACATTCGTTTTTTGGGGTGTTTTCTTGTGAAAACAATTGGGCCAACTATTATTATTATAAGTTCAATCGTACATTTAGAGTTTTGCAAGGCTGCACTGACCTTTCTCTGCTTCATAAGAGTCAACCTGCCCAAGGCTACTCTCCATGATAAGACAGAGGAGAGGAGTGAAGGCTTAAACCAGATTTATGCCTCAAGACTGAGGTGCAGTGCAGTGCAAATGACCCTTCTCTGACTCGTCTACAGGCACGGCTTCTGCACCTCTGATGGCTGACATAGGAACTGAGGAATGTTTCCTGTCCAGATCTGTGTTTTTTTATACAAAGTGTGTCTGTTTAACTCGTGTTACAACTGATAATCAGTGGACAATCAATGTATGTACGGCATTGAGGGGCCTTTTCCGAATTGTGCAGCACATCTGAGGCCTTCCCTCGTCCGCTGACTTCTGCATGTCGTACTAAAACTCTTCAGAGTCAAAAGACTTGACATTTATTCTCTGCGTCCATCACATTTTTACTTCAATCAATTATTGTTTTGGTTTGTTACTTGAAAGTGAAGGTAACTACACTGAATGCTGTACTTTATTTGATCTAAGAGGATATTTCCTCTGAAAGATGACTCTGATGAATGTCTTGGTGGAGCTCGGTGAGGTTGAAAACACTGATCCTAAAATCAAAGGCAGTTTGAGGAGGGGTATCTACGTCTGGACTCGTTCCTCCTGTGTCCTGTACCAGGGCATCACCAGTGTCCAGAGAAAGCGTCTGAACTTTGGAGAAACTGCAGGAGAACCCTTTACATTCGGTTCATTCTGTTGTTGGATCAATGCTCAGTCTTCTCTCTAAACTGTGTATTCCATCTGCAGTGATCAAATAACTTAATCAAACCTCTGAAGGTCACTTGTTTGAATAGTTAATGAGGAAATATTATTTACTATTTACTTTACCTGGGCACGGTGGCTGAGTGGATAGCACTCTCGCCTCTCAGCAAGGAGGTCCTGGGTTCGAATCCCAGGGCCTTTTTGAGCGGAGTTTGCATGTTTTCCCCGTGTCTGCATAGGTTTCCTCCGGGTACTCCGGTTTCCCCTACCACTAAAAACATGTACAATAGGTCTGGCATGCGCATCCTGCACTGGCCCCGCTCCCATCTGTGTGAGAGACGAATGCCCAAAAATAACAATTTATAAACCGCTTTGTGACTCTGGTTTGTGAAAGGCGGTATATAAATAAACATTACTTACTTACTACTAAGTTTGTCATTTGATATTTTAGTGAAATCCTTTAAGTTGAAAATTTATGGATAAACGTGTATAAAAGATAAAATGGCATCAGCATGCGATTGCCTGTTTTTGCCACCAGAGGGAGATCATCCACATAAATTTATTGTTGAGGTTGTAAAAAATTAGAAATTGCCAAAACTAAATTTGAGGCAATACATTTGTTTTAGAATGCAGAATACTGGTTCTGAACATGACTAAATAGTATCAGAATTAATGAAATCACCAGGTCAAATTACCAGGTTTGAAATGACAACATTGAGACAGAAGGGGCGCAGGGCTGTGTTTGTGCCAGAAGTTCCTGATATTGGTGTGGATGGAGGTAAAAACAACTCCAGGTTTGTTTGGTTTGTTTAGGAGGGAACAATAATATTTAAAATCTAGTCACAACAGATTTTCTGAATGCCTCCTTTAAATCGCTTCTTTATCCTCGTACTCGTGCCGTCTCTGCTGCAGATGTTGCTGGTGAAGTCTTCCTGCCGGAGTCAGACCTCAGCTGGGCTATAGCAACACATGATGTCATTAAGACCCTCCCACCTCTTCCCCAGCCCCCTCCTCTCCCCCAGCCCCCTCCTTCCCTTTCCCTGCTCACGTGTGACCGAAATCCACTCCAGAACCGTCTCTGCTGTCTGCCAGTGTGCTCTAGTTCTTCCCTTTCCTCATTGTCGTCCTTTTCCCTTACTATTGTTACTCCGCTGTCAGTCCCAAACCCGTAACTGACAAATCCATGTCGCTGGTTTCGTTCTTGCCCTTGCACAGACACTTTTTCCTTTGCCTCATGTTTACTCGCCTCTCTTCCTGTCCTATATTCTACCATAACAAATAACTCTTGAGTCAGAGGGGGACACTGGCTGAGTGCTCTCTCCAGTGAACAGAGCCCCCTGGTGGCAGAAGAAGGCAACAGCACCAGCTCAGATATCCAGCTCTGTCAGCAAATTGTCCATCCAGATATAGCAGATATTTGTCCTATAGATTAGTCTACAGCATCAGCAGCAATATAATTTCTGCATTGAGTTTCAACAGAAGAATTTGTGAGAGTCCTGTGGTGAGTGTATGTATGAGAGGCTTTTAGAATTATAGTTTAAATTGTGAAATATTGAACAGCGGAAATCAGAAGTTTACTCACACATTGTATATAAGATTTATTTTTTCTCTCTCATTATGGTGGTTTCTGTATGCACAAGTCTGAAGAAAATGTCGTGGGGGTCTGGGCAGAAGACATGTTTTATGGGAAAGAGGAGTCATGAACAGAGTTTTTACAGCTTGCATGTGATATTATACCACAAAGGAATCATAGATAGTCCAATCAGCAGCTGCCACGGTGCCAGTAGCTTTGGCCTTCAGATAACCAAAACATCTAAGTGGAAAATCACTGGTTTGTGCATATTGGCCTAAAGATAATATTCCCATACATCACTATTATGTTATTGCTTTGCCTAGAATGTTCCAGTCTGCCACTAAACTTAAATCTATTACACCCTTTGTCTCATCTGACTTGAAACTCGGACTGGTGGAGTTAATAAGTTTGAATGTGAAAGAGAGTTATAGGAATTCCCTAAAATCTCCAGAGACCTTTTTGTATGGCGTGCCTTTCAAAAGAAAAGTTCCTCGTGCACCTGTAAGCGCTTGCACGATACGAATTATTTTGTATGAATCAACTATTTTCTCTCTGATGGCTCCTGGTGTTTTTCCATTGTGAACAGAAGTGTGCTGGATTTAGAAGGTGGCAATGATTGACGGTGGCGGGGTTAGGTTTCAGTCCCCCCCTTATCTTTTAATGGGCTGTTCTTTGTGTGAGCGCCCACCACCTGAACACAATACCCCCCTTACACACACATACACACACATACACACACTCTACGTGACACAAGAGGCCTTCACACGTCCAACCTGTCAATGGCCCTGCGGTCACCTCACTGCTTTGGCGCCCACGATGTGATTGATAACTCCATCCAGTCTGTCTGTCTGCATCTCCTCCTCGACACATTGTACTTCCTGCTGCTCTGGACATTTGCACAAAGAGAGAGAACTTCTATACATTCTTTACATTTTATTTAATAACCTGGTTGTCATACTGGACTTGCAGAATACTGGTGCCACAGTCACTATTGTTAATGACAAGCAAGGTTCATTTTGTCGTTGAGGAGAAAAAGGGAATCTTAAATATGTCAGACAAATAGTAGGATCCCTTTGTAATTTTTATGCAATTTTATGATGTAAAATAATGTTTATACTATTGTCTCATCCAAAATTACAGCAATGGTAATTATTGTAATAACCAAATCTTTCAAATGAGCCTGACTTTGAGGTGCTTAAAGTGTGGTGTTGACGTGGAGTTCTCACAGCGGCAGACAGCGCTGGAACCAGACTCCAGTTAGTGTCTGATCTTCTGCTGCGGCGCTGCCTCTGTCTGAGCCATGAGCCCACTCACAGCCTTTTATTTATAGAACACAAATGTAATTATAGCCCCTATCCAAACCAGGCCTGTTTTTATGTGTCCGGATGAGACTTAATTCCGGTGACCCCACCTCCCTCATCCTCCAGCCATCTGCCAGCACCAACCACGGGTCGGCCCGGCGTGCTGCCTCACGGAAACGCACACCTCACCTTTTACACCGGCTGTTTCTCTTTGGATGCAGTGTTTTTCTGTTTAACATGAACTGTTGATGAAAGCACTAAGTAAAGTGCTTGATTTATTTGAATAAAAATACATATCTATGTATTTAAGTATTTTTGTTATATATTCTATTCATTTACACACACACACAGAACACAAACCAAAGAATAAACACACTCCAGGGAAACGACACGCACAACATACATTTTGTATAAATACAATGTATTTGTCTACTAGAATGGGACGGGTTGTATTAAAGGACAGCTCGTGCTGTAAATACACTGGATTTGACTTCCGGCTAGTTTTCAGCTGTAGTTGTAGGAGAAACCGGAGCAGCTGGAGGCAATCGCAGACACATGAGGACATTAAATCTTCTTTCAGAAAGGCCCTGTGCTGCCCGGGAGTTGAACTCTGACCTCTGCACCCTATTATAACACAAAACAATTGTGTCGCTGCCCATACACTTTGAACTATTCATCTATACTGTATAAGCATTCATTACAATCATAAATCTATTATCCTTTTTATATTTGCAGGTCGCTAAACTAAATGGCCTCACACGGACCGGATCAGCACCTCCCATCGGCGGTGGTGCCAAAAAGAACCGTGACTTCCGACTGCCGTCCAAAACTGTGAAGAAGTACACAGCCACCGTGTCCAAGGGCCACGTCACCTACACCAAAGCCAAACAGCGAGAACTGGGCAAGAAAACCAAACTCAGCCACAGCAGCAAACACAGCAGCGCCTCAACGGCATCGTCAGCGAACAATCACAATCAGCACAGCCAGCCAGCAGCCAGCCCCATGCTGGCCCACTCAGGAAAAGCAGCCGCACCAGCCCCTCTCAGCAATGCAAAAACACGCAAACAGGTGCTATTATCAAACGGGCTGCACAACGCCAGTACCCGCCTCAACGGTCGACTTAACGGCCAGCGGCACAACATACTGTCCAAGGAGTACGCTCAAAAACTGTCCCAACAGAGCCAGGTAGAATGTGCCGGACGAGAGGGGCTGCGAAACTCCAAGCGGCGCCTGGAAGTGGTCCTTCATGCTATTGAGACTGGACCCAAGTCTCCAATCACTGACGCCAAAAAGGTTAAGCTTCAGGCCTCGGCTCTGGAGACACGGAGCAGTAGTAAAAAGGTGGTCCAACAGGAGAAGGCCATCGCACCCACAGTGGCCCCCACCACACCACTCACCAATGGACAAATAAAAGAAGCAGCTCTCTCACAAAGCTCCCCGGACCCCCCTGAATCTTCCAAACCACCGCCTTCCAAACCTTCTCCTCCCTCGAAACAGAGTCCTAAACAGCCCCCTCCCATTACACCTGTCGTCAATACAGAGGTGCTCAACCAGCGGCCCAAGCGGGCCTCTGCTGGTAAACTCATGCTCATCCGACAAGCCCAGCAGCAGCTGAGCCGGTCTCACAACAGGAACTCCAGCTCATCCTCGCCCTCCAATCACAATCAGCCCCAAAATCTCAACACTACCTCAGATCCCCAACACTCCTCCTCCACTGCCCCTGCCTCGGCTTCTTCGCTGCTCACCAATGGCCCACTTAAGGCGGCAGGACCTCGGCCAGACCGAGACAAGGAGTGGGAGCGTGAGAAAGAGCAGACTCGGCAGAAGGAGCGCGAGCATGAGTGGGAAAGGCAGCGGAGCAGAGCAGACGGCTGGTCGGTGCTTGGACAGGCCCCCATTTTCAGACCAGCGTCACGCGAGTTTCACGACCCACTGGTGTACCTGGACGCAGTGCGGGAACAGGCGGAGGGAGCTGGGCTGTGCCGGGTGGTGCCCCCTCCTGACTGGAGGCCTGAGTGTAAACTGAGTGAGGAGATGCGTTTTGTTACACAGGTGCAGAGGGTCCACATGTTGGGACGCCGATGGGGTCCCAATGTCCAGCGCCTGGCCTGCATCCGGAAACACCTTAAATCTCAGGGCATCACCATGGAGGAGCCACCTGTCATCGGTACTTTATGATTCCTCTCCACATTATGCATTCATATTTGTATGGTTGATATGGCAGTGTGTGTTTTCACTCTAGTCAATATTTTTCTTCATTAATAAATACACTATACTTACTCAGAATAAATGTGAAGTATAATGTTCTTCAACAGGCTGCTACAGTTAACAGTGCTGGTATTTTCCATAGGTGGGTGTGAAGTGGACTTGGCTCGATTTTTCCAGTTAATAAATGACATGGGCGGCATGCAGCAAGTTATGGACCTTAAGAAATGGACCAAGCTGGCCGACCTTCTGCGTATCCCTAAGTCTGCACAGGACCGCCTGGCCAAGCTGCAGGAGGCCTACCTTCAGTACCTGCTGTCGTACGACTCGCTGGCCCCGGAGGAGCGGCTGCAGCTGCAGATGGAGGTGGTGCTGGAGAAGAAGGGCCTGGAGTCTCGCAAAGGCCCTCTGGAGGCCTTCTCCGACTCCTTTGCTCCAAGCGCTCTGGCTTTGCCCCGATACGAGCCCAAGAATGGGGTGGTGTGTGGCCTGGTGGGCGCAGCAGCTCACCCTCGTACCAATGGAGTGTATCACCCTCTGAAGGAGCTGGAGGCACAGGTCAAAGTGGGCCGGCGGCGGCTTTTTTCTCAGGAAAAACAAGGCAAAGAAGACAAACAGCATGAGGACGAGAAGGAGGAGGAGCAAGAGGGCGTCCTCAGTGACCAGCACAAATGTATCAACAAGGTGAGCCCATGGATCTAGGGTGAGCCGCACAATTACTGGCAAAAACCTTTTTAGTCTTTGGTCTGAGTCTGCAGTTTAACGTAATTCATTTGAACAGTCTTTCTGTGGCTCAGCTGTAGACCGTGACGGCAGCTGTGTTTTTTGGCTTTCAAATGTAGGTCAGAGAAAAGGCCTGTTCTGTATCTATGTTTCAAGCAACAAGACACATTTTCAGTGTTGTTGAAATAAACATTTGTTTCTATTGGAAATATTGTTGCAGTGGCCCAAAACCATTCAAATTATAACTCTCATACGAACAGTGTTTGAAGTGTGTGATGTTGACAAATTGTGTAGAATCATGATCGGGCTCTGGTGTGTACACACCGTACATTAGAGCAGATTCATGGACATCCTTTTAATGATACCAAATTGTAATTTAAGAATCTTCTTTTGTGTTGCAGGGTAAATCTGTTTCATTGACTAACTTCTTCAGGATAGCCCGAAACACTATGACCATGTGCTTTAGCAAGGAGCCTGGAGCAGCTGATGTTGAGGTTAGTGCTCTGACTTAGTACTTATTATGGATTACTTCTGTTGGATTCCTGTCTCCTCTTCTCACCTGGTTTGTCTCCTACAGCAAGAGTACTGGCGACTAGTTGAACAAAGGGACAGCCACGTGGCAGTGCATTGTGGGAAGGTGGACACAAGTACACATGGAAGTGGCTTTCCCACTGGAAAGTCCGAGCCATTTTCCAAGTAAGAGTTGTATATTTCTAATAGAATATTTCCAAGTTAAAGATGTATTACAAAATTGTATTTTTTAATTCTTAGACATGGATGGAATCTCACTGTCCTCCCGAATAATTCGGGATCCATTCTGAGACATCTTGGTGCTGTGCCTGGTAAAACTTTATTCTGTGCATCATATGATTTTCTGCTTCATTTTGCTTTATTCATTCTGTTGTGGTTGATCCATAGGGGTGACCATTCCCTGGCTAAATGTTGGCATGGTTTTTTCTACCTCATGCTGGTCTCGCGACCAAAACCGCCTTCCATATATTGATTACTTACACACTGGTGCTGATTGCATTTGGTAAGTGGGCCCTACTCATTTCAACAGGATCATTGTACTTCTGTACATCTTACGTATGTTATTTTCCCAGGTATTCTATCCCTGCTGAGGAAAAAGCAAAGCTGGACAAAGTGGTCCATACACTGCTTAAGGCCAATGGCACACCAGGATTAGAAATGCTGGAGAAGAATATAATGGTCAGTTCTTAGGGTTAGGGTCAGTGGTGGTTTACACCTGAATCATATAAATAACACACTTTTGTTTGATCGCAGATCTCTCCAGAGGTGCTTTGCCGTGAAGGCATCAAGGTTTACCGCACGGTCCAGAGGAGTGGGCAGTTTGTGGTCTGCTTCCCTGGTGCCTTTGTGTCTAAAGTGTGCTGCGGATACAGTGTGTCAGAGACTGTCTACTTTGCGACCCCACACTGGATGAACCTGGGCTACCAGGCTGCAAAGGTCAGGCTTCTCAGGACTCTATGTTGATGCTTAAGTCCCAACTTAATGGAAGAAGTAGTAGATCAAAGTACCAGAACATTATCCCTTAATTGATTTCGACTTCAGTTTGGCACATATTCAGATTGGGTTGACTGTGTTTGTTTGTTACACTTGACAAAACTGCATCACAGTTGGCTCAGCCAGCGCCAAAGTCTGGGTCTGTGGACGCCCAGTGATAGATGTTGGGTGTTCATGATAAAGCCCCAGACCTCATTAGAAAATTTCCCTTTTCAATAAAATTCCACTGGATTGATGATGGCTGTAGAAAGAGTGAATCAGATGTTTAAGAGAAGCTGCTTGTGTGTGTACAGGACCTGAAGTGCCGTCATATAGCCAAACCGTTCTCCATGGAGAAGCTACTGTATCAGATTGCCACAGCGGAGTCCAAGAGGGATAATGGCCTTCTCCTCTCCACCATCTCTGCCCTTCTAAAAGACCTCAGGTACAGCCCCTTTCATTATGGATATAATATGCACAAAGTCCAACTCCATACGAACTATTTCATTCTTGCTTTACAGGAATATAGAGATGCATCAACGGCAGGAACTTTACAACGCAGGTCTACAGTCATCAGCACGCTACGGGACCCACGACAGCAGCCTGGGTCCTAGCGAGGCCCGCAAGAAACCCCGCGGCAAGTGGCTAGCACTGGAGTCCTCTGAGAGACGCTGCCAAATCTGCCAGCATCTTTGTTACCTGTCTATGGTGCGTTGCAACCAATTTGTTTTCCAATTAATAAGACGGGTGTTTAATGAATTGTCTTTTTGTGTGCAGGTTGTGCAGGAGACAGAGAATGTGGTCTTCTGTCTGGAGTGTGCTCTGCGTTATGTGGAGAAACATAACAAGTCATGCAGAGGCCTCAAAATGATGTACCGATATGATGAGGTGAGCAGACACTGTAGACACGTTAAGCTCAATGTGCAGTTCCTTCTTTGTCCACAAGAGGGCAACACGTGCATGCAGTATTATGTTTAGCATTGTAGGTTTTCCTCAATCTTGGCTTAAGCCTTTTTCCTCATTGACAACAGTCACTTCATAGATTTGTGTATAAGTTCATATGTGTAGTAGCCAATATAATTACTTTTTCCTCTTTTCTTTTTCTTCTACATAGGAGCAAATCAACAGCTTGGTGAACCAAGTGTGTGGCCGGGCTATGTTGAAAAGCGGAGGTGCTAATCTAGTGGTCAGTGGAGTGGGAGTGGGTGACCCCTGTAACGGCTTGAGTCCTGCCAAAGCGTCGCCAGCCAAGCGTGGACCCCGGAAACGTGCCACTGTGGAGGTGTCCTTGGCTCGCCTGTCCTCCAGCCACCTGCCCAAAGCAGCAGCTGTGTCCTGAGAGCCACCACCTCCATCACCCTTAGTTTGTGGCAGAATACAGGACATTAACAATCATCACATATTTAAAACCTGTTATTTTGAGGCTTTCAGTCATTTTCCCTTCCTTCCAAGACTCGCCCTTGTCCTTTTAGTTGGACAGCTTTGTTTGTAGGATAAATTTTAAAGCAAGATGTCTTTTTTGCACTAGTGTGAAAGAAGTTTTATTCTTGATGTTTGTAGATTTCCCCAAACCCCTTAATTTGTTTGATCAGCATCACAAGCATTAAAAAGTTCACAGAAGATCTCAGGTGGACGTCACCTCCAGTGCAGAGGGTTCCATTGGGGCCTTGTCCTGGGACCACAGCCCTCGCTCCTGCTCATCACTGTACTGTGAACATGGGACTACAGAGAAGGAGGCCTTTAGTTCCACTTGGTTCTGAAAGTGACTTTGCATCGTTACCCAAGAATTTCATCCTTGTTTGAGGAAGAAAAGTCCTTTTTTATTGCTTTTATTTGTCCTTGATGCATCTCCCAAGTCTAAAAGTGTTGGCTTGGTGACGCAAGGTAAAAACTTGAAAGACAGACTGTTGGTTTTATTGTTTGGGTATTGTTTTTATTTCTATTTTGTATTTTTAGCTTTTGCTAGTTTTGATTTTGCAAAATATTTTCTGTGTATTTTTTTGTCTCTGTTGAGTGGAGGATGTGAAGGGGGCAAAGGTGGAGTTCACCTTACTTCCTGTTTGTGTGGAGGGACCCTCCTTCGCTAGTGAGTGAAACTGTGCCTGATGTGTAGCGAGGAGATCCATACTTAATGGTGCTGTTGGAAATCATTACTGTAACAACACAAGTAAAATCTGGGAGTATTCACCTGGTAGTGGTTAAACTAGTGGACGAAAGCCGCGGGCTCGTCCCACAGGGCAGAAAGGCTTTCAGGCATTTCTGATTCTAGATGTGCAATCATGTTAACATTCCATTCTTCCAGTCCTCTTGTTTCATCTGTACCAGTAAACATGAATTATTATATTATATTTGTGTTTTTTACCTTTGATTTGATGTGTTATCTCAAGTAGAGCCACTAGACAAGAGTGTAAAATGTGAAATATCAAATCCATTTTTTTGCGCCTTTTTCTTTTGTTTTTGTTTCCCTTCCCTCCAGATTATGAGTGATTTTAGAACAAGACAAAGTCCAACACAAACAAAACATCATGTACATAATTCTGTAAATGTCTTTAAATACTTGAGCCTTTTCCCGGGGTGAGGAGAGTTTTGAAGAGAGTGCTAGATGAAGAAAAAGCCTTACATTTCCCTTTCTTCATCCGTGTGAGTTGAAGCTTACAGGGTTGCTCTGGTAAACGTGTATAAAAAAATTAAGTGCTACTTATATCACTAAGAAAGAAGATATTGAGTAGCCAATGACTGCCCCATTCTAGTTTTGTTTGTTTAGCTTTACTTTTTTAAAGAAAAGGGAAAATGAGATGAAGTGTTGAGAAAAAAAGGATTTACATTTTCATTACTGAAAATTCCACACAATGTAGTAGCTTCTCATGTTGCACTGAGCTTGCCAGTGGTGACTGTCAAGGAAACCTATGATCCCGTTTGTTGGCTGTTGTCCCTCGCAGAAGACTGAACTGTTTTAGGACTATTTAATGCTAAACCAAGTCGGGTGTTTTCAGCTTAAAAAAGTGGTTGTCGAGTTTTTATGGCCTTACGATATATTTTATTCTGATGGATCCTATTGTTTGTCACGTTTCTGTTGTTTCTTCCATTTTCTACAATATCAACTACTCACAGTGGGGTCTCTGGTGACTTTATTTATTAGTGCCGACTCTTGGCCTTTCCCTCCACTTGGAAAGAATCATGTTGGTTATATTTGACAGTTTTTTACTTTTGGAGTTTGTAATTAAGGTTTAATAAAAACTGACTGACAATTCACTGTCATCCTCTGGTACTCTGTGTCTCGTTGATTTTTATGTATCTCTCACTGGCTGTGGAGAGAAAGCATTCTAACGGAGCCATGTGTAGTTTGTACTGGTTTTCTAACATGACAAATATAATTCTTTGTTGCCAATGTCTTGCCCTGCGTGTTGCACACACATAGTTCTAGAGACCATAGACAAAGACACTGGCAACCCAAATAAATCTTTGATTGGATGAACCAATACATCAAATGTTGCTATAAATAATTACAAAACAATAGACATGACACTACTAAGAATACCTTTGCATTAACATGATTTGTTAATGCCAGGGACATAGGTGAGATATGGATTCAGAGTTTTATAATAACACATCTTACAAGACATCCCTTTTAAAAGTCGTTTACTCTCAGTAAAACACTGATATTGCTTTTTATTTTAAATCCAAAAACATTGAACTTATTTCATATTGACTGACATAGTCGTTCTTTTAGCACACAAGTCCAACACTTCATTCTCCAGTATTTTTTAGGAGATTTAAAATAAATATTTATTTCCTGGTTAAGGACTATAGGAGGAAATGTGGGCTGGGATCATTACACTCACATCACACACAAGTCGGTACCAAAGGATCGGATCGGCCTTAATGCCCGCTGCATAGCACGGTCTCAACAGGAGTTTGGTCCATTTGGTAACAGGAGCTCGACCCCAGTGTTGGTCCAGAAAACGGCAGGTCACGTCTGTCCTGCTCACTGCTCATCAAGCCACAGTTACATGATTTGGTTAACATAAGTTCTTCTTTCAAGTATGAAGAATGTAAAAATGGCTTTGAGATTTGAATCTGAAGCTAGTGGTTCGAATTAATCCTAGTTACATCGACTAAAGACTGAAAAAGACTCGAAAAAATGAACTACTGTAACTTGCACCATGTAGAGTGTGTGTCAGTTTCCTGTAAGAGGCCAAACTAAAACGTGTTTCGTCAGTTTATGGATAAGGCAAAAAATAGGACACTAAGGAGCATTGAAATGTAATTAAGCGTAACACATTTTCTCTTCCTAACACGTGACTGCTCACAACCGAGTTTAACTGCGTCCTGAAGGCCATGTCTAAGTGCAACCTTGGGGGACTGGTGTATGCATGTATGTATGTATGAGTGTATGTATGTGTGTGTCTGTAGAGAGTGTATTTGGCAACTGTATGTCCATTATAAATCTCAAACTTTGGGCCTGCTGCCAGTACAGTTTTTATTACAGCTGCTGTGGTCGTGGTGGTCATCCCGGTCCATCAGCGCCGTATCGAGGTGCACCTCCTCATCGTCCAGAGTCACCACCACTGGAGGTGTCCTGCCCTCCGGCTCCTCCTCGTCGTCCTCGTCATCCTCGCCTGCCTCCGTGTCCTGGCTGGCTGAGTCGGTGCAGGTGGAGGAGAGGGAGCAGAGCTTGTGACGCAGCTCGGCTTGTGTGGGCACCTGCAGGCTGATCTCTGTGGTGAAGGACTCCATGTCAGGCCCTGAATAAGCACACACTCCAGTTAATGAGTCCAACAGAGCTGATGATATCCACGGAGGAGCCGAGGCATTATCAGATAAAAGAAGGAAACGGTTAAAGTGCGAAACAGCAATAACCACACATTTTCCGTCTCTTTTAGCGGTGACAAAGCAGCCAAAATGTGAGCGCCAGGAACGGAAATCCCAACACTGCGCTTTTAGACAACATACAAGTCAAGTCAGATTTAATCATATTCATTAAAAAATGTACAGTCATTTAAGAAGATTAGGTAAAGTGATCCTGGTTAAAAAAAACTGATGGGAATATTGATTTGACGTCCATGTGTCTAGTCCAAAATGTTCTTTACACCAGCAAACCACTTCTGGACCCAAAAGTGGGTTGCGGAGTCATATTTGGAGAGTCGTAAGCTGAGACAACATTTTAAAAGGTGTGGATCTACTACAGTATAAAAAGTATAGCTGTAAAACGTCTCCAACTTGCCTCATTAACACATTTCTTGAAATGAATGACTTCTCTCACGACAAATTAACTTTTTGTTGTTGGTGATATCTGGCTTCATTTAGCTGTGTAGTATTATACAAGGCTTAAAAAAGTAGTGAAAATGTACAGTACTTTACATCATACACTAAATTCAGTTCTTATTTGGGTCACGGTATTTGTTAGTGCTGGACCCTAACACCGCTCCAGTTGAGAACCACTGCTTTACTCCTATGTGTGCAGTGATGTTAAGTCCTTTTAATAACAGGAGATGCGCTAGTGCTGTGGTTAGCGCTCTCGTCTCACAGCCAGAGGCCCCCGAGGAGCACATAATTGAGCTGGTGAGGCTGTGTGGATGTTGTACCTGCCACAGGTGAAGCGGCGCTGTTGTCTTCTCCCCCCGAGTGCAGAAACACATCCAGAGCCTCGTGGTCCGACATGTCCATCAGGTCCATCTGCTCCAGCATGTCCACGTTCACCTCCATGGACGACATGCTTCCTATTGGCTCTGCGGTCCACAACACGGTGTTAATATACAGCATGTGTTCATGACGACCAAATTACAAAAAGCAGCTGCAAGAATCTGAGTCCAGGAGGAGCTGATTGAGCAGAAGCACAAGTCGCATGAGATGTGGTCATTCATACGGCCCTCACCTCTGCGTCTCCGTGTTAGTAGCAAGCAGTGAGTGAGTGCTCTTGTCATGTGCTTCCATTCACTGAGAGATGTTTGAGAACATCATCATTTAGTAGCGTTTAGTATTCATAATCCAAGCTTTATATACTCATCTTTAAAAACCTTCCTAAAGCAAAGTCTTTAAAGCTGGAGTACCCAACTTCAACTATTCCACTGCAAAAGGTGATGAAGAATTTAGCAAAATGTGCCTAATTTGAGCACATTTTGTTTGCCTCAAAACAAGATTTGTCGATGGGACACGCAAAACTGTCTTGTTTTAAATAGATTCAAGAAAAAGTTTATTTTTTTAATTTCAAGGGAGACATTTCTTGTAATAAAACTAAATGGTTTTATCTCATTGACTGAACTCAAATCAAGATAAAAACCACTCAATTCAAGCAATTTATATTTTTTATAGTGTGTAAAAGTCCATGTAACTAGTTCATAAGGCTCAAAACTATTCAATCCTACCACTGGTTTTCAAACACATGTATTTTTGGCCTCGGCCACATCTTTTGGTCCAAAGAGTCGCTCACACTGCCTAACAGCTCTCCACATGAAAAATATACTTTGTTTTTTAATTAGAGGGATACAGCTTGTAGAGGTCGGATTTGTTCATAAAATGTTACTTAAACAAGACTTTCTGTTGGGAGTCTATTCAGGAAACTCAACAAAGTTAGGGACTCCAGCTTTAACGTTTGTTAACTAAAACAGGGACAAAAACGAAAGAGGGAAAGTTTTCTATTTGCACCCAGGTCGTGTGTATTACAGTGTTATTAGTTTGTGATGGATCGTAAATCCTGGAACCACAGCCTTGCAGTCACAATGGGCCACATGCGTCGCAAGCCAGTGCATTGTGGGAATAATGGGAGGGGGGGAGGGCAGGGGGGCGGGTCAAGGGACAGGACGAAACGGGATGATTGGTCGGCAGAGAGCGTGAGGAGGGATGCCATAGGCTACCATACCTCAAGGAAATGAGGAGAGCAGAGAAGGGCAGCATAAAAAGGGTAGAAGAGCAATAGAGAAAAAAGAAAAGACAGAAAACACATATGGGAGAGTTACTTCCCATCGCAACAACACAAATGTTACAACCTCCAACATTGATTCAATTGGTTCTAGGGACATACTTTTCATAAAGATAGACGACCTTTTTGTCACATACACAAAAGTATAAACAGTTGAAACTTGGAAAATTGCTCAAAAGTTCATTTATTTTTGTAATTCAAATTAAAATGTGAAACCAAAATATGATATAGACTCATTAAACTCATGTGAAGTGACTCATGCCAGGCCTTTGGTTTTATTTAGGAACAAACGATCAACATTATAACAAATAACAACCAGAGATGTCTCACTTTGGATCTGTCATATTTAGTCGCACATTGTCACTTGAGTTACAGAAGTAAATATACTTTTGGACTGTATTATAATTTTCTGAGTTTCATCTGTATTTAGTGGGCATTCACGCCTGGTCTGGTTCACTTTAACTGGACCAATTCTGGTTCAATTGGGGCAAAACTATTTTATTTGTGGATATAAAACCACAAAGAAGTGATCATGCGTCCACGACTCACTTTAGTCACGTCACGTCTTTTGAAATAGATCTGTGAACCAGACTTGGTCCAGGTAAAGTGAACCAGACTTGGTCCAGTTGAAGTGAACCAGGCCAACAAGTCTGATCTCTCCCTGGTGTTTTATTCATAAACTCAATTTTCTTATTATTGTACATAATTATATCCTGCACAGACTATATTTTCAACCTTCAACATGTCGCACACTTCTGTCTTTAGCACAATCTGAGTGATTCCATCTGTGCCAAATGTGACGTGTGTATTTCTCCAGTGTGAGATCAATAAAGTCCATCTTATCTTATCTCAATGACAGCTGGGTATTAGTGATAGTCTTTTTCATAACTTTTCCTGGTCTGAGAGTTTTTCACCTCCTGACTTCAATAGAAATACCAACCCTGCGCATGATAAAAATAGCCTCTTGTATCGAACCCCATAAACGCGGCCTGCCCTTTCTTGCACTTCCTTGCCCTTGTCTAAAAGCTCCCCTGCTGTGAGGGGCCTGGGAGGACGAGCCCGAGAGAGTGACAGTCAAATCCCAAAGGGCGAGTTCTCTAAACGCACAGTGGTGTCTTCTTTCACTTTTATCTTTAATGTCATGCTTCTTTGTACATACAGTGGAAATATAAACGTACAGTTCGTGCATGCTCGCTAAAAAGACAGCAAAACAAAATGGTCTGACACAAAGTACATCTCGCTCCAATATTTCATCTCTGTTTACAATAAATACATTTCAATACATTCAGAATGATTTGACACATCGGCTGCTTTTTGATCGTGAGCAGCGTCTGACAGGAGCAGGCTGCAGCTAGAGGGAGTTAAAGCACAGGGCAGGAAAACTGTTAACACAACATGAGGACAAATATTGCACACAAAAAATGTAAATCCCAGTCTATCCTTAGATAACAGCCCATTACAATCGTCACTGTACACGTCTGTCACTCAATAATACAATCCCACTGGTCAGTTATCCATTATATTATAACTTGTTTGTACCATATCACAAAGTCTAGTTTGTGAGTTCCAATTACAGCAATAAAAATAATTCTGATAGAGTGTGGCATGGTTTAAATTGGAATAAAAAAATAAAAAAACATAACACATGAGTAATTTTTTTAAAACGATGTGAGATTTAACGAGAGAATCTGCTTGCAAACACTTTTCGCATTAGACAGATGTGGATAATGAGCTGTGAATACTGCAGGCCTCCACTGGCACCTCTTAGAAACGCCACAAGCATAAAATAAGACCCTGTATAAATCTCTGCGCCCGTCTCCTCCGCTAATAAGCCGTTTCCACAGGATTAAGGCAGGAGGAGAAATGAGGAGCAGAAGAAATGTAGGGCAAGCGTCTCCCTTCTAGCCCCGTGTTTGGATTCATCCTGAGAAGATATCTGCTCAAAAAGTTGCCTGTAGAATGCACTAAAATAGTAGACTCCTGATTGGTCAGTTGTTAGGGCGCATATCTGGGTTATAATATAAACACCAGGATCATAGAGAGAAGCTAAACCAGATGTTTAAGCCTAAAATTGTGATTGTGACATAAACGTTTACTGAGCAAGAGGAGTGAATCAATAGGAGCCAGGGGGAGTGGGTGCAAAACTTTGTCCATGAGCACTTCCCTATCAAGTGTCATTGAGCTGGGGGTTAGCATTGTCCATCTATAAACAGTCTATGGTTTTGAATAGAGATTTGCGTGAAAGACATTTTTTCACATTTTTTTTGTATCTAAAATTGTATGAATTGTAACAAAAAAAAGTTAAAAGTTGTTATTTAAACTTTGTACAAATCATGGTTTACATGTCATATGGACATTATTTCAAAACAAAACTAAGCGGTTTCTGACAACTAAAACCCATCTCAATACAAATTAATTATTTTTTAGATTGGCTATTTGTACTATCAGTGGATGTGTGGTTTAGCATTGTGAGCGACAAAACGTGTACCTTGTTCATCGAAAAGTTACTAGAAAATGTTGTTCCTCTTTTACTGTCTTGAATGTTCATGCATTTATAACAATAAAATACCATGATAGTAAAGCTGTCAAAAAAAAACAGATTTGCGTGAGGTTTGAAGTGTAGACAGCGGACCTCACCTCTCCTCTCTGTGATCTGCAAGTATCCTGTGGACAGATACTGCTCCATGTCCTGCTGAAACGCCTCCTCGAAGAATTTCTGCCTCTCTTTGAGTTTCACCTGAGTGGGGGGGACTCCACCTGGATCGGCCCCTGGGACCCTCTGTGCCTGGTCTGCCTCCAGCTCCACTGCAAACACAACACAATGTACAATTCATTTCAGAGCTGTGGACTTTGACTAAACTGAGATGATTAGCTGACTGAAAAGGGCGCTTGGCATATGCTCCAATTATTATGTACGCAAAACTGAACTCAAACAACTTAGATCATGAAAAAACTAACCAACTAACCAAAACAGAAGGGGAGAAAAAAAACTTACAAATTAAAGTCTTGATTAGACTTGAACATCAAAGTAAACACAACTATTTCTGTTGTTCTGTTGCACTGAAGTTGCACTGCACAACTCTTGATGGGGGTCCAGCTGCTTGTTGCCATGAAGACGTTATTGCTCTGCTTGGAATGTTTTTCATTACAGATGTTTTTGCTCAAACATTTACATTGCTGAAGTCACTTTGTTTGTGACATATACATTTCTCTATTGTAAAATCAATAAAGTTTTTCTTAAAAACAAAAAATGAAACCTCAATCTTTAAACTGTTAATATTGAACAGAATATTTGGGAGTGTAAGATTGAGTAGACACACAATATCTGCAAATTGTCTGGGTAATGACAACTCTACTGGAAACAGACCAACCCACACCACCAGCACAGATATAATAACTATTTCAAAGAATTGTTTAAGAAAAGGTCATAGCGTCAGTGTTTTTGTTAAAGAAACTACAGTATATGGATAAGAAACATAATGCGCTAAATGCTATTGTGAGAAATGACATCCCATAATCTCATCAGAGTACCACTGCTCTATTAGCAACCTATAGGTTTGTAAAATAACCTTCCATCACGTTTACATCCCCTTTATTAGTGCTGCACTCAGACCACTCCAGCACCACTCCCCATCTCCCTCAACACTAACCCTTTCAAATCAATACTCCCCTCTCAGTCTTCACTCCGCTGCGGCCCCAGACTTCACAGTGGGATAAGCTGCTAAACCCTGGGGGCGCTCCTGAGTACACACACACACAACACACACACAGGTCCTGTTGCATGCGACCCCCCTGAGAATGGAGAAAACACCAGCTCTGTCGCCCTGTCATCCTCGCTAGTCTGGTCAATGTATCTCCTTTATCAGACTGGCTGTCTCTTGCCCATCAGGTTGTTATTGCCGCGGGGCCCTGGCTTCCTGCGGAGGTGCTGTTATTGCTGTGTTAAGAGGAGAGAGGAGGCAGGAGATACACATACAGCTGTGATGATGGGGCTATATAGCTTTGATCTGTGTGCCTCCAATCACAGACCCTACTGCGGAGGATTTAGGCTGACGTCTTCTGCATAGGATTTATTGTGGTAGTTCTCCAGCAAGATTGTATAACTATTGGCAAAAGCAGGGGCTCATGTTTACTCCAGCAATATTAAGTTACGTTTGTGGTCTTGCCTCAAGTGGCTCTAGTTCAATATATATCGTTTTGCTGTCACATAAAGATACACACACTTTATCCATATAGCACATTTCACGGACCAAAGTCACACAAAATGCTTTACAATGTTTTGGAGAACTGATATTACATTCATTCCACTCACAGTAATGACAGAAGCGATATGCAAATCACACTGGTTCATCGAAGCCTCCAAAGTTCACACACTCGTCTACATTCGGAGCTGTTGCACATGTTTTATTGCTAGGGGGACCCGGAGCACCCGCAGGAAAAAGGCCCTGTGGAATCGAAGTCTTTCTTGCTGTGAAGCATGAGTTAACACTGCACCACTATTCGGACTTGTGATTGGAGATGGTTTACAAGGACATCAGAAAGGTCTGAAAAGCGGAGGCCAAACATCACAAAACTGTGAAGTTATAATATCAGAAGGTTGAATTTCAGCAGAAAAGTTAGAAATGCCACCCCAGAGATTTATTTACTCTTAAAGGGTGCACATGTAATAGTTTGATTCTAATTTACAACTACATTTTTTGTATGTGTCCCCAAATAACAGGACAACATTTCTAAACAAAAGTTTAAAGTTGAGTTAAGCACTTTTGGAATCTCTTGAATCTTGAACCACAGGCAGAAAGATTCTGGCAACAAAGGTTGGAAAGTACTTGTAATGAATGACTTTAGACCAGGGGTGTCATTCATACGGCCCGTGGGCCGGAACCGGCCCGCCAAGAGATTTGACACGGCCCGCGGCTCATTTATGTAAAAATATAATTATAATACATTTTAAAAAGCCGCTCCGCGACGCGAGGCGACGCCTCAGCGCCGCGCTCAGGGGTGAGTCCAGTGCGTCTGTAGTGGCTCCACCAGAGCGGTGCTCGAGGAATAACATCTTAAACTACAAGACTCGGCGAAAAATACGGCACTTTGAGCGGAGAAAACAGAAGATAAACATGTCTGGCCCTGAAGACACAGCAGTCTGTTTGTGCCCAGAGCGAGAGGTTAGTTCTGCTGCTGTAAAGGGAAGCTACCTGTGCTAACAACATTAGCATTAGCATCGCAGCCGCACAGTGAGAGAGAGTTTGTTAAAACTCTCATACAGACTGCAGACATGGTCTGAGAAACCACTCGCTTTTACCAACATGTTGCCATCGATAAGAGACTGATGTTACTGATGTCACATATTCATTTGTGGTGTTACTGAAACTATCAGAGGAGTTTTGAGCGCTGCTGCTGGTTCTGCTGTTGTTGCTGGTGTGTTGGACAGTGTGGACTGGTACTGATGGTAAAAACAGGTGTAGTGACAAAGCTGCAAATGGAGGTGATGATTTTTGGACATTTGACTGTATTTTACACAGAGACACTGCTGCAGTCGTTAAGAATGGATCACGTTATGGAAGTTGTTTTATTCATTTCAAGTGAATCATGGTCAGTTTGATGCTTTCTCTGTGATAATAACATAACCATGGACCTTACCACACTGAAGATGGTTAATGTGATAATAACATAACCCTGGACCTTACCACACTGAAGATGGTTAATGTGATAATAACATAACCATGGACCTGACCACACTGAAGATGGTTAATGTGATAATAACATAACCATGGACCTTACCACACTGAAGATGGTTAATGTGATAATAACATAACCATGGACCTTACCACACTGAAGATGGTTAATGTGATAATAACATAACCATGGACCTGACCACACTGAAGATGGTTAATGTGATAATAACATAACCATGGACCTTACCACACTGAAGATGGTTAATGTGATAATAACATAACCATGGACCTTACACACTGAAGATGGTTAATGTGATAATAACATAACCATGGACCGTACCACACTGAAGATGGTTAATGTGATAATAACATAACCATAGACCTTACCACACTGAAGATGGTTAATGTGATAATAACATAACCATGGACCTTACCACACTGAAGATGGTTAAGCTGAGGTGCTGTGTTAAAGTGCTTTTTTCTGTCTACCTACTTTACCTTTGTGAGCAAGTTTTCTCTGTAATGAGCCTTAAAACAAAGCTAACATACAAATATTAATATACATATTGTGAAATATCATTTTCAATGTAATATTGTAAATACATTACATTATTTGTACTATGGAAAACTCACTGTTACATTTAAGTTTGTAACAGAAAACTGAGTATTAAAGGACAGTGTTTTAAAGGAAGTTTTAAATAAATGTGTTTATGTGCAAAAAGTTGGATTTTGTACCGTTTTTGGATATTTTTGTAGAGCATCTCCTGGTCCGGCCCACTTGAGATCAGATTAGGTTGTATGTGGCCCCCGGACCAAAATGAGTTTGACACCCCTGCTTTAGACCATGAAGAGGACCACTACTGGGGGCCGTAGTTTGGACGTGTCTGTGCGACACAATTGAGTAACATCTTTGAAACAAACTTTCTTCTTTCTGCTCTGGAGGGCACAATTGTGTTTGTACAGGTATAAAGTCCACACTTGAATAAAGTTACAGACAGATGTTGAAGCACAATAAAATCAACTATTCTACATTTACGTTTGAGGCTTCCAGGGAACCAGCTGGCTTCCAATTGTCATTCTAATGTGGAAAATGTCCTTCTTTTCTATACTGCCCTCTTCATCACCCTCCTCCTCTTCTTCCTCATCACACTTGTGCAGCTGTAGCTAAAGGAGCTATTTTTAGTGTATGCACATATTTAGCCTGCAGGATTAAGCAAGTGCATTATCAGAGCACAGTAACCATGTTTTGTCCTTTGCAAAACAATGCTATTGCAGATGCATATAGGTTTAGTGTCTGACAACTATGAGGAAGTTGTGTAAAGAAAGAGGTTTGTAGAAAACAAATAATGTGCAAGAGTCATTCAGTAATACAACAGCATTTTTGACATATTTAAAAAAGGAGTCACGACTATCTCCGCTGTTGAAACTAATGTGCCACCACTTTTGCCTTCTATGGGCTTTTTCAAAACGGCCGCAGGGCAGGAAAATGTTAAAAACCGCATCTGCGCATGTGAAACCCATTCATTTGACGAGTGCCTTCAAAAGTCCACAACAGGTAAAATAGACTGGTCCAAAAATATATATATACTCCCCTCAGCATTGACACACATCTGGAACCAAGAGTTGGACCAAGAGCTGACTTTTGGACCATTCTGTAAAGCAGTTTTCAAGAAGATAAAAGACGCCATACAAAAGCATTGGGTAATTCTTATTCCGGGTACACCCCCACCGACCAGGGGTGGGATTGCAGCATGTCAGCGCACGGGCTCATGGACCTTTGGGAGCCAGGACCCTCCCCCACTGGACCTAACCAGTGCTCGTCTTCACTCTCTCTTCACAATTTGAAAAAGTATTTGACATTCAAAGATTTGTTGCCGATGTTTTCGTTTACATGTATTTAACATAATCTTAAATGATGCAATCCCTCCCCGTGCAGTTTGAGATACTTGGGAACCTTTCTTCGCAACATCTGTTGATGATTCATACACGCATCACATTAAGTTGGTCACAGCACGGCGCCCGATGTCAAATGAAATCACGACAAAGAAGGGAAATGACTGCAACAGGACATTACATCAGCAGACTCCAACGAAAGAAAATGTCTTTAATAGATATAAAAACAGTCTTTGTTTGCAACACAATAGGATAAAAGTGTTGTTGGTTATTGCTGTAATCTGAGCACAAACCCCCAGGTGATATCTAAGCCGCCGCAAACAATGTGGGATAATTCTATTCTGGCTATTAAGAGGAGACAGATCAATATTGGGCCAGACATTCTCCACCAATTATACACAGCTATTTCCAACACCACAGAAACAGGGAAGCAAATTCACATGTGGCAAACGTTATACCCAATGCACCTGCAAACATTCTTACACATTGAACGCCATTTTCCATTTACCCTCTTTGATGTCATAGTGACAGTCATTTTGAGTATGTAAAGAATTTGAAGCCGAGTGAAGTAGCTGCAGCTGAGGAGCTAAAAGAGATCATTTCCCAAAGCCTGGTTCATGCATCAGAAAATCAGACATTATTATTGAGCTCAGGAGTCACACCGAAACGCATTTTGAAAATTACTACAACTGCTTCAGTAAATCAATGGGTATCTCTGATATTCCCCACTGTGAGGCAAATAAAAAGCTCTATTATCTGATTCTCAAATGATAATAACACAATAATTGGATATTTAAAAAGGAATCTGAGACTATTATGAATGTATTTTAATCTGGAAAAACTACTTTGGGTTTCCCTGGAGTCCAGACCCTGTGGTGCTGGAAGCTGAAGTGATGAGCCAATGGCATGGAGAAAGGTCCCCGAGTTGAGGTGGTGGTGGTGAAGACAAGGGTTGCGGCACAAGCTGAACACTAACGGATCTCCTCACGTACAGTCTGATAGGGAGCACAGGTGTGACCGGTGCCAGCTGAATTTGATTGCTCAATAGCCGTGGCCAGGCTGTGCAGCAGAGGGAGGAGGACTGGAGTGAAAGAGGGTAAGATGCTGCCCATGGGAGAACTTTGCTTTAGCTTCATCTCCCAGCAGTGACCCGGCAGTTTCAGGTTTTTCCACGGCTTTACCTTTTATGTTGTTTTTTTTTTTCAGATTGTATGGTTGAGCAGCACAGTGAACAGGATGAATTTCCATGGTAACGGTTGTTATTCTAATGTCTTTTCGCAGCTCTTTGGCACTTTGTTTCTCTTCTGTATGGAGTATATAACAGTATTGATGCAATTAATTAAAAAATACTGTATATCTGACTGAGAAACACTGACTGAGAAACATGTCACATCCCAAATGAGTTGCATTGATACTGTACACATACAGACAGCATTGAGGCAGATTCTTTTGGCAACTGTTTAGAAAGTAGGACTCAAGACTGGGCCTTGTGCTTTGTTAGTTCTTTAAGTGAATGTACATTTGCTATTTGCTCTTGAAGTCTGCGCAGGTCATACATTATTATTTCCTCTATTACAAAACCCTCAGACTCATTACTGTTGTTTCACTCACTTTGCATCACTCCCGTCGCTCAACATCTGATAAAAATCTTTCTGGTTTGAACAGTCACTTCAAATTAGCGTCTGGCCCCATGATGGATTTCTGTTTCTGTTTTCCTATGAAGAGCTAATATTTCACAGAGTTTAGACAGTGACAGCAAAGACAGCCTCTTCCTCTTCTTCCTCATCCTAAGCCCTGCTCACTCAGCCATGATATTTTTAGATTCAGTCCACCTCGCCGCTTCTCGACTGCTCGTGTTTCAGCCGACGTAAATATACAGAGGGAAAAACTGTATACCTTTTGTCATGTTTTAAGTCTGCTGGGTGTGCGAACACAGCTGGTTCTTAGGAGACGGTGGGAAACTACAGTATGTGATGTGAATTTGACAAGTTACAATGTTTGTGGAGAATATTATATCAAGGGAAATGTCAACACTGTTCATTGCATCATTACAGAAACTGCTGAGCTGTCTTTGCTCCAGGCACTCACATTCACAACTTTCTCTCGTATGCTCCAGTTTTTATTTACAATTACTTCTGAGGCTACATAGATAAGGTCTCAGAATTCAGATCAAAAGTCTTGATGGAGGCCTGCTGGATGTTTGCCGCAGTTTGAGCCCTCCCACTTCCATCTAGTGAGTGAAACAGTAACCATCGTCCAATTTGAGTGGGCTCCAAACACGTATTAACCCATTTTGTTAACTACAATCGTAACCAGGCAACTAGCTCCTCCAGACAACACTGTGAGACCATCGATAAGTATGTGATGTCAAACAAAAGCAAAAGGAGCCATTATAAGTGCGTCTGTCCAGCAAAAGTTAAGTCTGCTAATGGTGTCTACGGTTCCACAGCTTCCATTGGGGAATGTGTCACTAACCGCACCTCGCCCTCAGAGTCTGTGCACGCAGGTATACTGTATGAGTGTGTTTTTGCATTACACTGGGACCAAGAATACTTCATATTATCCCACAGTTCCCATTTCATCAGTAGAAACACAAAGTCCTCTTCGGCTGAAATGGTTCTAACTGGATTTGACAGGAATTGTAAAACTTGTACACGTTATGTTCTTAGACCTTACAAGTACTGAATTTAGTGTTGCACAGATTGGTGTCACTAAAAGGTTCCAGGAGTCATGAATGGAAAAAATCAGTTCCAAAGCAGGTCCCTAAAATCTGGCACTTTCTGAGTTCCTATTATGTGTGAACGTGCCGAAAATAGGAACAAGAACAAAAATATACCAGCAACGTAAAGCGCTTTGAGAGGAAATATGAAACGGCAAGTACCAAAATCATTCCAATTGCGCCTTCATCGGCTTTCAGTAACTCCAAATTATCATCAGGTGAGCTTTTGGAACCGAAAACCCAATAATGCAAATGAGAGGCCAAGGAATTCTATCATTGTTTCCCATCAGGCTGTCAGTCTCTTATCCTCACTCCAAATTACTTTATACAGCCCTTCTTCAGAACAGTCAAGAATCTCCTTGATGGATTGTCCTGCATGGATCTTTTGCCAGGCCACAACTTTGTTTGACTCCTCTGCAAAGTCAGCACGATGCCTTTGACTTGGTTTATAAACTGTCCGGTGTCTAGCCTTGTCACTCAGTTGAAACACTGTGAATAATTCCATATATTTTCACATTATTCAACGCTCACTGCACATGCCCTATAAACAGTGTGTGCATCATAACCACAGTGTAACAAGGTGAGTGGATGTTAGCTACAGCGTGACCACAACATTATGATGAGTGCGTGGAGGCAAGAGGGACAGGGAGATTATATGTGTGAGAGTTGAAGGGCACCTGTGAAGTGAGAGACAGGAGTCCACGGGAGAGGAGTGTGTGTCCGAGGGCCGCTGTGTGAGAAGCCTCCAGCTGACGGATGCTCACATTACACTGTACATCACTGCTGGAGAAGGTCACAGAGTCCAGCCATTTACGACACAGTCAAGGACCCGCTGATTTGTACGGTGAGTAAAGTGCGCAAGAAAACTAAGTGGAGAAAGGCTAAATTTTACTACTGGTTTCTAGAATTGAACCTGTCCAAGTTTTAGAAGTTAGAATCCAATCCAGCAGCTATACAGTATATATTTGAAGCCGTAAGTACACTCACATTTGGAATATTTAGACTAACTATTCTAAAAGGGAGATTATATATGAGATAAAAGGTAATCATACTATCAAGATGCGCTTTCATCACAGCAGATGCATTTTGAGATGCTTTGTGGTTTTTGGGTGCAGTGGTTAGCGCCTGTGCTTGTTTGCATGTTCTCTCTGTGTTTGCGTGGGTTTCCTCTAGGTGCTCCGGTTTCCCCTACCACTAAAAACATGTACAATAGATCTGAATGTAATGTGTGAAAGAACCATTGGTGATGGTCCGGGACTTTGATGCGCCAGTGTTCGGAATCTCGCTTCTGCCATCACCGTGTGTGGAGGGAATGGGAAATACTGGTGCACCAACACTGTACAGTGCTTTGTGTGACCTTGGTCTGTGAAATGTGTTGTATAAATATAGATTACTTACTTACTCTTTGCCCACACATAGGCCTTTATCTTAACATGAAAGCATCATATAGAGAATTGCCACAATGAAGAAAGGGGATGCCAGTCACGCAGCTTTTTCACACCATCAAACATTATTGGAAAAGCAAAAAAACTCAAGGAAAAGGAGAACCTTCAATCAGAAAGGGTGTATAGTGCAAGATAACTTGACTTTACCTGAATTACCAGTTGAATAATCATAGTTTGCATATTTAATTTCTTTCTGAATCATCACAGCAAGCTAAACTAAAGTTGCACACCATATGCCTGACCATATTTATGATTACAATTTCAAACAATTTTATGATCCAACTAAAAGGCATTCATTAGATGCAGCTTTGCCAACATCATTTTATGTACAAGCAGTAAATAGTGAATAGTAAACAGTAGTATGGTATAAAAATTGTTGGAAATAAAAATGTCTTTCATTCCAAATAGCCGCTACAATAAAGCTTTAAATGATTCTGCAGCCGTATCTTAATGGTATCCGTGTGTCTAAACATTGTGAGCCCATAGCCTGAAGCTGGAGGGTCAAGAGCAGAGCTGATGCACAAACCATATTTTTAGCTGCTATAGCTTTGTGTTTCCCTCTGCCTGCTGACATTTAGCTCAAACCATTTCCGTGGCTCCAGGGAATCTGGCCTTTGTGTCACGAATATGCAAGTGTTGGTCTCAGAGAATATGCACGCATGGACCCGGTGGCTTCCATGGGCTTGGGCCGTAGTGTCTTGGGATGTAGTTTGACAAGTGCAGTCAAAACTAATGCATGAGGAAAACGCCTCCCAGGGCCTGTGCATCTTGTCCAACGTCCCATTTCACACAATCTGTTCAGCAGTGATTTCAACACATTTGCCAACAGCTGCCCACAGGAACAAGCCTCAGTTTTACATCAAGTTTGACTGACATGTTCTGCCTGGTAACTTGGAAAAGAATCAAGTGCTGGATTAAGTCAAAGCCAAGTAAGAAGTCTTTCAAATGCACAGAGAACATTTGAGCAAAGATCAGATAATCTGTCTCTCGTATACATGTTGTTGAAGAGTTGAATTTGTAGATAGCAGGGTAGAAATGATCTGATTTAGTTCAGATTCAGGAATTGTTAAAACGTCACACCCTTTACATATAGGTCAAGTATATCCAAACTAAGGAAACCCAAAAATAACAATTGTAAACCGCTTTGAGACTCCGATGTGCAGTGAAAAGGCGGTATATAAATAAAGATTACTTACTTCTTACTTACTAAGGCCCGGGGACCAATTGCAGCCCTATGTGTCATTTTGTGTGGCCGTCTGCCAACCCAAAGTAGCCATCGAGATCATAAACACAAGTTCAGTGTCATCCAGCCAGTCCTGATCCACCAATATACACATGCTATACTTTGTTGTAAAGCTCACTATCAACTGGTCAATGACTTTATTGTATATACTGACGATTGTTTCTGATTTTCCGACTCAAAACAAACATAGAACAGCCCAAACAACAACACAACAGTTTTACAATCCAGGTTGTCTGCCACTAGAAAGGGGTGGTGAACTAAAGAGGGCCGCTTCCTAAAAAGTTTCATATAGGTCCAAAGCATGTGTTATTTAGTATTTTGTGTACTGTCTTTTTCACACAAAAAGCTGAGATCTCGGGAACGAGTTACATAGATTTTAACAACATTGTTAATTTTTGCTTTAAAGTTATGAACTCAAGCTTGAAATCTCATGAAATGTTGACAAATTTCAGTCAGAAATATAGTTACTAGCACTCAAATGCCTTTGTAGAGACGCATGTGTGAATTGTTTTGCTTCCCATCAGTTCTAAATATTTGATTTGTTTTACTTGAAGGAATTATTAAACGTTAGACAAACAGGTGGAATCTTTGTAAAGACGTTCCCCCAAGTGAAAGATGGAGCAGGAAGTGAGAATACTTTATTAGGAGGTTAATTGCTTGCCTTGGAGGGAGCTTTCCTCGTGCTGATAAGCCCAAAGCGTTGCCCAAATCACTGCGCGTTAGTCACTC